GGGGGGTCCCGTCTCCAGCCAAGCTTCCTTCTCACCTGAAGGGACGGTGCTCCGGTCGCAATGGCCATCTTTGAGAAGTCGGTCCCGGATCTCCCAGCTAAACATCCCCGGGTTTTCCCGTTTGTATTCTTCAATTTTTTTCTCCACGTCCGGAGTGGCGACCTGCTTTTGGGATCAAGAGAGGCGGTCCAGGGGCAAACGGGAGGGGTGTGTGTGTGTATATATGGGGGGGGGTGTTTTGGGAGGAAGGGGGGGAAGAGAGGAAAAGAGACATCCGCTTTTAAATTTAAATTGTGTATATATATCAAATGCATTTTAAAGGGTGCGTTCTGAGTAGACTCGCTTTTAAGTTAAGTTAATTTTTTTTTTAAAAAAAGTGCACGATTGGAATAGAGAGAAGGCGGGGGCGGACCCGATCCACTGAAGTTCATGCCTGAATTTAAAGCCGCCGCGCCCCACCCCGCGCTTTCAGTGGGTCTACTCTAGGTAGGGCCTCCGGAGCGGGACTCCTCTTGGCTCCTCTGCAGAGGAGCCAGGAATGGGAAGGGTCCCCTCGTCCTCCGGGGCCTCATCCTGCGCCCCTTTGCCCTCCCCCCCCCGCTGGCTTTCCACTCACTCACCCTGGGCTTGCTGCCCCCGATGGCGCCGGGGCGGATGGATCCGGTCTCTTGGTACCGGCAGAGGATTTTCGACACGCAGCCGTGCGAGACGCGCAGCTGGCGGGAGATCACGCAGGGCCGGATCCCGTGGTGCGCCATTTCCACGATCTTGTGGCGGATGTGGTTGGGGAGGGGTCTGCCGTTGATAAAGACGCCCCCCAGCTGGTTGACCCGGCCTTGGCCCAGCGGGGTCGAGACTGCGGAGGAGGGGAAAAAAGGAACAGGGGGAGCGGTCAACACGCGTCTGCCATCTGGCGCAAAGGGGGCGTCTGGACGCAAACATCCAGGCTCGGAAGCCCCTCTTTTTAAAATATATTGGTAACAATTTATGACTTTGCAGGACGGGGGTTCCATAGCATTTACCTCCAAAATTCTCCCCTGGTGCCACTTTCGATTCTCTGCCTAAAAGCACATCTATTATTTAAGACTAACCTTAAGCTGGTCTACGGGCCCGATCCCTTTGGCTTTGCGGGGGGAAGTTTATCTCTCCCTCTCCCCTTCCTCCCCGGTTTCAGTGACCCTTTCCCCGTCCTTATGGTATGTCGTCTGCCCGACGGATGGCCGGGGGGGGGGCACCTCTCCATCGTAGAGAAAACGTACCCTTTACACCGAAAGGAAAACGTGCCAAAACATGGGGTCTACTTCCACTTAGAAGGTCAAACCCCATTCATTCCAGTGGGTCTACTCCAGATTGGGGACCCTTCCCTGCGTAAGGGGCGCCCTAGGGTGGGAGAGCCGCGAGGACACCAGAGAAGAACAGAAGCAGCCGGGGCTCCAAAGGGGTCGGGGAAAAAAAATCTGATTTATTTTGCACGGATGCCAGCCCAGTTAATCGCCCTCGGTTTATCATTCTGCTTGGAAAAAGTTAAACACGAGTCCGCCCGGGTTTACAGAGCCCTCTTTCCATGCTTCTCCTCAGGACTCCTCGGGAGTCAGTTCCCCGTTGGTCAACCCACCGGCTTAGGGAACAAGGAAATCAAGGGGATGCCTCCGAGTAAGGGCGGCTGAGGCCGACTTCAGAGTTGATGTCGGAAAAACGACCAGCGCTAAGGATGCTGATGGGGGATGATGGCTGGTCCGGAAGACAATAAAACAGACGAGCGTGCTCAAAACGTGGCAGGCTCGCGGAGGAGGAGGGGCGCGGTTAGCAGGAATATTTGAGAGACTCCCGGGTCTCGATCCTACACGTGTTCGCCTGGGGAAACCTCTATTCAACCAGGTGCCCGGGGGGGGGGGAGAGCACCCTGATCCTCGCCCTCTCATTTGTTCTGGAAATTTCGCTGGTTTTCCTTCCTTCCAAGGAGACTTTCCCAGGGGTGGCGGGGCCAGGGGAGGTGTGAGGTGGCCCCGATTCATCCATCGCCCGTTGAGGAGCCAGCCTTCAAAGGCAATAGACTTTCCAAGAGGTCTGCCGCGGGAGTCCCTTCTGCCAATTTGGGTGACCAGATTACGGCTTAAGGGGGTCGTGGATCGCAGCTGCACCTCCTCTTCCACCCCCCCTCCCGCAGCCTTCCCTCCCCAGCCAAACCCCACAGGGAGCAAAGCCGCGGGGCCGTATTTTAAGGCGAGCCGTCGTAAATTTCTCTCTCCTCGGAACTTGTCAAGAACAAGTGGGTTTTCAAAGTCGCCGCCTGCCCTACATTCCGCTGAAGGGGGACGTGGGCGCTTCGGGGCCTGGCCCCTTTCCCCCCTAACTTGGGGCACATTTATCAGGAAATAAAGCTCCTTAAAGTCAAGGTTTCCGATCGCAACCTCTGAAAGCAGGAATCCCATCCCAACCTAAAGGTGGCTCTGGATTATTTATATTTTGTGCCAGCACACTTGAATATAGAGATCTAGAAGAGCGAGGGGTGGTTTTTGCGGGGAAAGGTCTAAAGCGGGGGCTCTTTTCACAAGACTTGAAGGAAAAAATAAGGTTTACGCACACAGCTCGCAATCTTATCCGCTCTTACTTGGGAGTAAGGGTCGTGGGACAGAGCGCCAGTGACAGTCGGGAAAGACAGCAAGATCGCGGCCATTGACCCCGATCCTTCAGTCTCTCCGCTCGATCCTAAAGTGCTTTTCGGAGCCCAAGAAAAACCGAGGTTTATGCTCGATGGAAGCCCGTCTCCCGGGGGCATGGATCTCTCCGTCCAACCGGACCGGATCCGGGTGTCAGGAAATGGGGGACCCGATCCAAGGACTGGGCGGCCATTTTCAAGCTATCTCAACGCCCCCCCAAAAAATCTATCTTTCTTCCGCGCATCCCTGGGCTTTTCGCGCTGAGCTTCCTCAAAACTTCGTCTCCATCAGGCCGCCTCTTGCTTTTCTCCTTCCCTTAACCCCAATACTATATATTTTACGGCCGTGTCCCTCGGCGCCCTTTCCAGCCGCGCTCCAGCTGTTTGCCTTTTCTCCGCAGCTGTTTGGATCTCTGTTTGAACGAGGGCTTTCTCTCCCTCTTTTTTGGGAGGGGGGCTGAAAGACACCCCCCCCGCGCGCGCCTACCATCTAGGGACAACCTTTTGAAAAACGACGAAACCAGCCGGGCGCTCAGCTCTCCTGAACCTCTTAAGCGGTGCAGGACGATCCTGCCCAAGGGTCAGGATGGGAAACGTAACAGGTTGCGTGGAGAAAAGAGGTCTATTCCGCTCCATGAAAAAATACATATATTTACATGTTTGCCGGAGTTGACAAAGCAGCGAAGGCAGCATGGAGAATTAAAGCAATACCTGAGATTTTCACGAGGGCCCTTGGAGTCCTCTCCACCACCTCTAATATTGAAACTAATTAAAACATACATATAAAGCGCAGCCGACTGCGGCCTTATTTTTATCTGGACGTGAAAACTCTGGAACAAGTCCCAGAGAACTCTTTGCTCATTTATTTATTTTTCCTTATTTATTTATTTTAGCCTTTATTATTTATCTTTCTCTTTTGTTTATTTGTTTGCAGAAGGGGGATCCCCGATTCTCCCCCCCCCCCCCCGCGCATCCGGTTATCACCCTTTTCGGCTCTTGCTTGAACAATTTCCTCCCCTTTTTTCCTGATCTGCTCTGTGCATTAATTGCCCCCCTTCCTCGGGATTGAGGTCTGAGCCGCCCCGGCGAGGACAAAGGACGCCGAGTCCCCTCACCCACCCCGCCCGCCTCAGCCCCTCGAGGCCCGGTTCACTGGCGTGGGTCGCCGTGGGCCCCAGACGTGGGTCGCCAAAGCGCGCTCGGTTTGCCCAAAACGGAGGCATAATGCGGAGAATTTTGGGAAGCGGGGGGAGGGGAAGAAGAAGGGAGCCTGGGGGATTTTTTGGGGGGGGGTGAGAGAAGAAGTCTCTGGCTCTCTCTCTCGCCCGCTCTCAATCTCTCCTCCCCCCCCGCTGTCTTTCCTGGCGCGCCCAGCCTCTCCCTCGCCTGGGCGCTTTCCTCCAGAATCACGCGCCGCTAATTCGGAGTCACTCGGAGATCGCTGTCATTAGCCGCGGCGCGGGCTGAAGAGGGCTCTCGTGGCTTGGAGTGGCGCGGCGATTATTCCCCCTCACGTTGTGCAAATATTTCGATAATCCCTTGATCCCCCTTTCCCTTCCCCGTCTGGCCGCTTCCACGGGCGACACGCGGAGCGGCCCTTCACGGCAATCCCCCGCGCCTGGCGGACCCCCGCCCGGGCGCCCCGGCTCGCCCACTTGAGCACGCCCGCTCGCCTGGAGAGGCTTTGCTTTAATAAATGCACGGGACGGACCCCCGGAGCCGGTTGTAATGCCGGGACTGGCCCCCGCCGGGGAGGGGCGCGCCGGCCGGCGCTGGCTGGGCGGAGGAGCGCGAAGTTCCCTAGAAAGGGGGCTCCCAGGTTTTTTTACCCCTTTTGCTGAGAAGGAGGAGGAGGGGGGAGCAGAGCGAGGAGGAGGGTGAGGGGAGACGAGTCTGGAAATTCGCTTTTTCTTAAATGCTCCATAACCAGAAGGCAACCGGTTTGGGGAGAATGAGAACCGGGTATGAGAGCGGCCGATTTTTGGAAGGCAGCGTTTTATCCAGGCCAATCCTGGTCAGTTTCTCTCCTTGACTCTCTCTGTGTTTTTTTTTTTGGGGGGGGGGAAATTTTTTTTCTTTTTTGGAAAGAATCAAAGAAAGGGAGAGGGAAAAACCGAGAGAAGAAGGAGTTAGAGGCAGGCAAGCTCGGAGCAAGCGGGAAAGGATTCTCCCCCAAAAAGAAAAAGATGCAGAACCGTTTGACCGTACTTTAAAAAAAGAAAAAGAAATCTCTTTCCGAAACTGGTTGGCCCCCTCCCGCTCCCAGCCAACGGAAAAGGTGGCCCAATAAGTAAATTTAAAAAAATGGAAATAAATCAAAATCAAGTGGGACGGGTGATTTGGAAAGAAAACAGCCCAGGGAGACACGATCCAAGCAGAATCTTTCTATGCCCGCCTTGGGGGGGGGGGAAATGCCATTTTGCCGGTAGTTTGACTCCCCATGAAAACCTCCCCGAGTTCCAACCGGGGCTCCTTGTTTTGCCAAAAGGGCTCCCCGCCGCCTCTCTGGACCCGGTCCTCCGATTTACTCGCAAGGAAGCCCCGCCGATGTGGAGAGAGTCTCCTCCCAAGAGTGGGTTCAACCTTCGGACTCCGGTGCAGGCGAAAG